TCTGATGATATGGGGGGGGGGATTGGGAGATGGAGAGATCTGATGATATGGGGGGGGGGATTGGGAGATGGAGAGATCTGATGATATGGGGGGGGGGATTGGGGATGGAGAGATCTGATGATGTGAGGGGGGGGTTGGGAGATGGAGAGATCTGATGATGTGGGTGGGTTGGGAGATGGAGAGATCTGATGATATGGGGGGGGGGGGGATTGGGAGATGGAGAGATTGATGATATGGGGGGGGGGGGGGGGATGGAGATGGAGAGATCTGATGATAGGGGGGGGGGGATTGGGAGATGGAGAGATCTGATGATATGGGGGGGGGGATTGGAGATGGAGAGATCTGATGATATGGGGGGGGGGATTGGGAGATGGAGAGATCTGATGATGATATGGGGGGGGGGGGGATTGGGAGATGGAGAGATCTGATGATGTGGGGGGATTGGGAGATTGAGAGATCTGATGATGTGGGGGGGTTGGGAGATGGAGAGATCTGATGATGTGGGGGGGTTGGGAGATGGAGAGATCTGATGATATGGGGGGGGGGGGGATTGGGAGATGGAGAGATATGATGACGGGGGGGGGGGGGGGGGCATAGGAGATGGAGAGGAATATAGAGATGGATGGGATCTGGATGTCTGTGTATTATTATTATCCAGGATTTATATGGCACCAACAGTTTGCTCAGCGCTGTACAATATAATTACTGTATCAGATCTGTTGCCTGTATCAGCCGTTCCTCCATCTGCTGCAATAGAACAGATCCAGCTGATCTCTGATTGGTCGGTGTGGGCAGCACACACAGTTTACATTCGGCTCCCCCCCTCCTGTATATTTCACTCACATGACTCCTCGCCCTTTGTACAGGTATGAATGTGGGAGAACCTGTTCCTCTGACACTTCCTCCAGACGTTATCTGGGTCACCACGCTTGTCAGTGGCAGGTTCTTAGTAACAGCTGGACAGCCGGTCCTTCTGGGACTTGTAGTCCCTCCTCTCCTATAGCTGCATAATGGGGTTCAATTAGAACTAAAAAGATTAAAAAAAAACGAATAGGCTATTAAAACAAGAATGAACAAAACGCAATATTCAGCAAGAGTCTGGAGACAAAGTGTTTTTCTTGCAGCGGGGGGGGCTAAAGGTCTTGTAAAATCGCATGAAAATGAAGGTGGTAAGCAGTTTTGGTGATCTCTTTCAGGAAATGTTACAAGATAGCACACCTTTCTACACTCTGGGAGTATTGGTGCCAAAATAACTGAGTCAGGTGACTGTCAAGGAGCCAGTTTCCTGGTTCTACGTACTGCAGACGAGGATGTGCTTTCCCAGAAAAGTAAACCGATCAATCCCCCTCCCCCTCCTGAAATGTCAGTTGCGTCATTTTTGGATAACCTTTATACATGGGTTTTAATTGCGTTCTGACCTCGGCACATTACATCTGCTTAGTACACCGTATCTTGTGTGCTTTGCTTCCTCCGGAAGGTTGGCTGTCCTATCCGAAGGTTTGCCGCCTGTGTTAGAGTGATGAAGAAGACTTTGTGTTGTGTCATTTGTCACCAGCCAGTAATATCCTGGACACCCGCAGGGAATCGTCCTTCAGCCACAGCCAGCGCCCATCCGTCATTTAGGATTATTATTATACAGGATTTATATCGCGTCAACAGTTTGCTCAGCGATTTACAATATACGGGAGACAATACAGCAATGATACAGTTCAATACAAGAGGGATAGGAGGGCCTGATCCTGGGAGCTTACAATCTAAGAGATCATTGTAAAAGACGGGCAGCCTTGGCAGAGTATGGCCTGATCCACAGATCGCAGACTGCAGGCAGAGTGGGTTGGGCTCAAATAAATACACACTATATTGCCAAAAGTATTGTCCTGCCTCCAAATCATGTGATTCAGGTGTTCCAATCCCCTCCATATCATGTGATTCAGGTGTTCCAATCCCCTCCATGGACACAGGTGTATACAATCAAGCCCCTAGGCATGCAGACGGCTTCTACAAACATTGGTGAAAGAATGGGTCGCTCTCAGGAGCTCAGTGACTCCAAGCGTGGTCCCGTGATAGGTGGCCACCTGGGCAATAAGTCCATCCGTGACATTTCCTGGCTACTAAATATTCCACGCTCAACTGTTAGTGGGATTATAACAAAGTGGAAGCCACTGGGAACAACAGCCACTCAGCCACCAAGTGGTAGGCCACGTCACATGACAGGGCGGGGTCAGCGCATGCTGAAGCGCACAGTGCGCAGAAGTCGCCAACTGTCTGCAGAGTCAATAGCTAAAGACCTCCAAACTTGGTGTGGCCTTCAGATGAGCCCAACAACAGTGTGTAGAGAGCTTCATGGAATGGGTTTCCATGGCCGAGCAGCTGCATCCAAGCCTTCCATCACCAAGTGCAATGCAAAGCGTCGGATGCCGTGGTGTAAAGCACGCCGCCACTGGGCTCTAGAGCAGAGGAAATGTGTTCTCTTGAGTGACCAATCATGCTTCCCCATCTGGCAATCCCATGGACGTGTCTGAGTTTGGCAGTGGCCAGGAGAATGGTACTTGCCTGACTGCATTGTGCCAAGTGTAAAGTTTGGTGGAGGGGGGATTACGGTGTGGGGTTGTTTTTCAGGGGTTGGGCTTGGCCCCCTAGTTCCAGTGAAGGGAACTCTTAAGGCGACATTTTGAACAGTTTCATGCTCCCAATTTCATGCTTCCTGTTCCAACATGACTGCGCACCAGTGCACAAAGCAAGGTCTATAAAGACATGGAGGAGCCAGTTTGGGGTGGAGGAACTTGACTGTCCTGCACAGAGTCCTGACCTCAACCCCATAGAACACCTTTGGGATGAATTAGAGCGGAGACTGCGAGCCAGGCCTCCTCCCCCGACATCAGTGCCTGACCTGACAAATGTGCTTCTGGAAGAATGGTCCAACCTTCCCATAGACACCCTCCTAAACCTTGTGGACGGCCTTCCCAGAAGAGTTGAAGCTGTTATAGCTGCAAAGGCGCGGGTCAACTCAATATTGAACCCTCCGGACTAAGACTGGGGGGGCCATTAGAGGTCATGTGTGTGGAAAGGGCAGCGGCCAACTCAATATTGAACCCTACGGACTAAGACTGGGGGGCCATTAATGTTCCTGTGCGGGGAAAGGGCGGGGCCAACTCAATATTGAACCCTACGGACTAAGACTGGGGGGCCATTAAAGGTCATGTGTGTGGAAAGGGCGGGGCCAACTCAATATTGAACCCTACGGACTAAGACTGGGGGGCCATTAAAGGTCATGTGTGTGGAAAGGGCGGGGCCAACTCAATATTGAACCCTACGGACTAAGACTGGGGGGCCATTAAAGGTCATGTGTGTGGAAAGGGCAGCGGCCCAATACTTCTGGCAATATAGTGTATCACTTAATAATGAAAATTAATAAAAATAAATAATATTAATAAACTAAATAGTACTGAAGTACACTGACAGGGTTTCCTCTAAAGAAGAATTCTGTACTCCATTATTTAAGTCTTTATTAAATTGCCGGGGGATGGAGTACATATAGCAAATGCTGAGCAGAGTGGTTGGACAGCGAGCGCCCCAACACGTCACCCCCCCCCCCCCCCCCCCCCCCCCCCCCCCCAGCTGGCCGACCACGCTTCTAGCAAGAAAACGAATACTTGATGAGGATTGATTGACAGCTACATCTATGGCAGCAGACACATGCAGGAGACGAGCGCCATCATTCCGCTCCATTCATAGATCAGCTCAATTCATTACAACAAGCTGAAGTTCAGTCTGCTCTGCCTTGCAGTGCACACAGTGCTGTGAAAAAGTATTTGCCCCCTTCCTGATATTTTTTGTATATTTGTCACACTTAAATGATCGAGATGATCAAAAAATGTTAATATTACACAAAGATAACCTGAGTAATGGGAAAATGGGGGATATATAGTAATCTGTTACTTGGTGTTCATATGTATTGACTTTCCTGGTGTACAAGCTTGGACTCCAGTGGGGGTATTGTAGTCCAGGGTGGGGGTATTGTAGTCCAAGGTGGGGGTATTGTACTCCTCGGTCTGTGGCCCAGAACATACAACATACAGTGGCTAAATGGTTAGCACTTCCGCCTGGCAGTACTAGGGTTGTTGGTTCGAATCCCAGCCACGGCACCACCTGCCTGGAGTTTGCATGTTCTCCCTGTGCCTGCGTGGGTTTCCTCCAGGTACTCCGGTTTCCTCCTACACTCCAAAGGCATGCTGGTAGGTTAATTGGCTCCTGTCTAAATTGTCCCTAGTATGTGTATGTATGGATGTGAGTTAGGGACCTTACATTGTACGCTCCTTGAGGGTTAGGGACCTTAGATTGTACGCCCCTTGAGGGTTAGGGACCTTAGATTGTACGCCCCTTGAGGGTTAGGGACCTTAGATTGTACGCCCCTTGAGGGTTAGGGACCTTAGATTGTACGCCCCTTGAGGGTTAGGGACCTTAGATTGTACGCCCCTTGAGGGTTAGGGACCTTAGATTGTACGCCCCTTGAGGGTTAGGGACCTTAGATTGTACGCCCCTTGAGGGTTAGGGACCTTAGATTGGACGCCCCTTGAGGGTTAGGGACCTTAGATTGGACGCCCCTTGAGGGTTAGGGACCTTAGATTGTACGCCCCTTGAGGGTTAGGGACCTTAGATTGGACGCCCCTTGAGGGTTAGGGACCTTAGATTGGACGCCCCTTGAGGGTTAGGGACCTTAGATTGGACGCCCCTTGAGGGTTAGGGACCTTAGATTGGACGCCCCTTGAGGGTTAGGGACCTTAGATTGGACGCCCCTTGAGGGTTAGGGACCTTAGATTGGACGCCCCTTGAGGGTTAGGGACCTTAGATTGGACGCCCCTTGAGGGTTAGGGACTGATGTGAATGTACAATATATATGTAAAGCGCTATATAAGTACCTGAAATAAATAAATCTCTCTCCTGCTCCTCGTGTATAATCGCTCCTCATGTCTCTTCAGGATCCTGAGACTTGATACAAGATGGTTCCATTGATGTTCATCTTCGGCCTCGCTGTCCTGGCCACATCAATGCCTATCGATGACCCACAAGATGGGGGGAAGCACTGGGTAGTCCTGGTGGCCGGCTCCAATGGCTGGTACAACTACAGGCATCAGGTGAGAGCTCCCGAATTTGCCTTCTGTCATGAGTGAAAAAAAAATGTTATTTTGACTCATTAAAATGTAACTATTTTTAATATGAAAATTCCGGTGCCAAAACCAAAAATTCAGGATGCACACTTGGCCGTTTATTTAATTATATAATTAATATGGCTGCTGTTTTTGCATGGAAGTCACTGGGGTCCGTTTTTTGCACCGAAGTCAAAGGAGGGGTTTGCATTGAAGTCATAAGGGGGTGGGGGGGAGGTTGTATTGAAGTCATGAGGGGGGGTTGCATTGTAGTCGCGGGGGAGGGGCGTGCGGTTTTGTTTTTTTAGTTACAACTAGACTGTCTGATGCATAGATACGTATGAAGGGTCATGTATCGGCACTTTACTACAGACAACTCCCCTGGTGCATAGATGTATGACGTGTCACGTGTCAGCACTTTACTACAGACAGCTCCCCTGATGCATAGATATGTATGACATGTCACATGTTGGCACTTTACTACAGACAGCGCTCCTGATGCATACATATGTATGACATGTCACATGTTGGCACTTTCCTACAGACAGCTCCCCTGATGCATAGATATGTATGACATGTCACATGTTGGCACTTTACTACAGACAGCTCCCCTGATGCATACATATGTATGACATATCACATGTTGGCACTTTACTACAGACAGCTCCCCTGATGCATAGATATGTATGACGTGTCACGTGTCAGCACTTTAAAACAGACAGCTCCTCCAATGCATAGATACTGTATGTATGATGTGTCACGTGTCGGCACGTTACTACGGACAGCTCCCCTGATGCGTAGATATGTATGATGGGTCATGCCCACTGCAAGGGTATATTTTGCCTAATTCCCAAAATTCAGCATCAAGATTCTATATCTAGTAGGTATCATTAGATGCCCAGGTAAGTCATGATCTGCTGCATAAGCAATTGGTGAGCAATGGCCGGACATTCGCTCCCTCCTTGGTGTGATGTCCGGTCTATGGGAGTACAGTACAAGGGTTGGCTTTTCCTTCTAATCTTTTTATGGACAAAGCTGAGCACAAATGGCTCCATACTCATCCCAGCTACTATGTTTATTATTGTATGGTGACCTGTACTCTCTGCTTGTGGCCTGTACTCTCTGCTTGGTGGCCTGTACTCTCTGCTTGGTGACCTGTACGCTCTGCTTGGTGACCTGTACGCTCTGCTTGGTGACCTGTACGCTCTGCTTGGTGACCTGTACGCTCTGCTTGGTGGCCTGTACGCTCTGCTTGGTGGCCTGTACGCTCTGCTTGGTGGCCTGTACGCTCTGCTTGGTGGCCTGTACGCTCTGCTTGGTGGCCTGTACGCTCTGCTTGGTGGCCTGTACGCTCTGCTTGGTGGCCTGTACGCTCTGCTTGGTGGCCTGTACGCTCTGCTTGGTGACCTGTACGCTCTGCTTGGTGACCTGTACGCTCTGCTTGGTGGCCTGTACGCTCTGCTTGGTGGCCTGTACGCTCTGCTTGGTGGCCTGTACTCTCTGCTTGGTGGCCTGTACTCTCTGCTTGGTGGCCTGTACGCTCTGCTTGGTGGCCTGTACGCTCTGCTTGGTGACCTGTACGCTCTGCTTGGTGACCTGTACGCTCTGCGCTCGGTGGCCTGTACGCTCTGCTCGGTGGCCTGTACGCTCTGCTCGGTGGCCTGTACGCTCTGCTCGGTGGCCTGTACGCTCTGCTCGGTGGCCTGTACGCTCTGCTCGGTGGCCTGTACTCTCTGCTCGGTGGCCTGTACTCTCTGCTCGGTGGCCTGTACTCTCTGCTCGGTGGCCTGTACGCTCTGCTCGGTGGCCTGTACTCTCTGCTCGGTGGCCTGTACGCTCTGCTCGGTGGCCTGTACGCTCTGCTCGGTGGCCTGTACGCTCTGCTCGGTGGCCTGTACGCTCTGCTCGGTGGCCTGTACGCTCTGGTTGGTGTGGTAGTAACAAGGTCACGTTGTTCCATAAAGGTTTCCTGTGCAGTAGCCAGCTGTGATGGGGGAGATGAAGGGAGGTCAGGCTTATCGGCAGAGAACACTCCTGGTGGCTCCAAGGGTGTGACTAATGGGATGCCATCGTCTGGTCTGTATGTTACGTTCGGTTTTAGTAAAGTTTCAGGAAACCCCCCATAAAACATATATAGACTATACAATATGGAGTAAATTCTAGAATTTTGTTTTGTGCCCTTTTTTTTTTTTTTTTTTTAATCAAATTTTTGATAAGAAGACCCCTTGATCCTCCTCTTGCTCATCTGCAGGCTTATCTACCCTCTGCAGCATTGCCATTGCTTGTACGTATGCTCCAAAATAGCCATGTCTACAGCTTAATCGGCCTTGTTCTTTCATGATCATTGGAGGATCTAGGGGGGTGCTAGGGTAGGCTTCTCCTGCACCCCCCTAGACTTCAGTTGTGCCCACCCTCCCCTCCAGACCTCCACCTCGGACACTGTGCCCACAGGGAGGATGATCGGAGCAACAGGGGCAATTACAAAACCAGTCCTCTGTATGTCTCTCTGCAGTAGCTGAAAGCCGGTGGGAGTGAGAGAAGAAGAAGCCAGCCTTCAGCTACTGCAGAGATAGAGATCCACCATCCTCTTCCCTCTTCTGCTGACTGCTGCAGGGGAACGGAGAAAGGGGCCGGTAAATATGTCATTTACAGGCCCCCCTCCCTTTTCATGAATGAACACAGTGAGTGAGTGATACCGATCACTCATGTGTCTATTCATAATTGAGGCTTCTGATGGGTGGGCTTATCTCTATCCTTGCATAGAATGTAGGACTGTTTTGTCCTGCAATTCTGCATGATGACATCAGAGTGCAACGGCCGGCTAGTGCGCCTTAGAAAAGGGGCTTCAAGGGACCAGTTGCACAGCATGGAGGGAGCCTTCAGAGTGAGGAATAAGGTTGATATTGCAGCGTATTTCTTTACCTCTAGACTTTAGCGAGCTTAACCCTTGCAGTGCAACCTTGCAGGGGGGTCCTACTGCAAGGGTATTTGTGCCTACAAGTCAGAGACGTGACATGCGTCTACCTGTCAGTGCTCTGCCCTGCCCTGTCCTACCTACTGCACCAATAGTGAAGCAGGGGGCTATGTTTTTGCATCAGGAATGAAATCTGTATTTGCATAATGATGCATTCCACACTTTTTTTCCTCCCAGGGCAGTTGAGTAGTCAGTTATGTGTAGGTGCCTTCTACCAACTTTTGGGGGCGATCTAATAAATTTAGATCCACCAGTGGGTTTACTTTATGTTTTTTGCCAAGAGTTCTTTCAACTCTTTTTGCGGCCCTTGATGTCTGGAGGTTCTCTGTTACATCAGATTAATAACAATGAAAACTTAGTCTTGGTTCCTTTTGAGGTTTCAAGGAGTACTTTCATCGTTAACCATGAAACGAAGGCTGTTTGAAGAGTGTGATAAGGTGGTCACATAGGCCAAGCTGAATGTCCCTCAAGTGTATTTATAGAAGGAACATAGCTGGGTGTTTATAGTCAAACACTTGACATGATCTCACAGAGCTTATTTTGAAAAAGCCTAATGTGTGATGTCCTAGACCCAGGACAAGGTGCACCACAACCAGTGTTCCTCAAGTGCTAAAAAGTGTGTTTATAGCAGGAACATAGCTGGGTGTGCTTTTGTCAAACACCTGAGATGATCTCACAGAGTGTATTTTGAAAGCCTAATGTGTGATGTCCTGGACCCAGGACAAGGTGCACCACAACTGGTATCTGGTGCCAGGTTTGGTCACCCATCTTGATCACGGAAACTGAAGATTTTTGTTAACTGGGTGTTTGTCATAGAAACTAGACAAGGTGCACCATGACCAGAAACCAGTTCCAAGTGTGGTCACTCATTTCAGTCACTGCTGTTGCTCAAACTCTAGTGAGTGGGTGTCTGTCATAAACCTGGGGCAAGGTGCACCATGACCAGGAATTGGTCCTAAGTTTGGTCATCTACCTCACACGCAACCATTCCTCAAAACTTGCTTACTATGTGTCTGTTTTAAACCTGGAACAAGAAGCACCATGACCAGGAATCAGACCCAGGTTTTGGTGGCCTTCCTTGCGTACAATCGTTCATCAAAGCTTGCCAACTGAGTGTCTGTTCTAGACACTAGACAAGGCACACTATGGCCAGGAATTGGTCCCAGGTTTGCAAATCTACCTCACTTCCAGCCATTTCTCCAAACTTGCTGACTAGGTGTCTGTCTTAAACCTGGAACAAGGCATACAATGACCGGGAATCAGACCCAGGTTTCGCGGCCTTCCTCTCGCACAATCTTTCTTCAAAACTTGCTGACTGGTTGTCTGTCCTAGATTCTAAACAAGGCACACTATGGCCAGGTATTGGTCCCAGGTTTGGTCATCTACCTCACTCGCAACCATTCCTCCGAACTTGCTGACTAGTTGCCTGTCTTAAACCTGGAACAAGGTGAACCATGACCAGGCATCGGTCCCAAGCTTGGTGGCCCACCTCACGCACAGCCATTCCTCAAAATTTGCTGACTACATGTCTCTCTTAAACCTGGAAGGAGAAGCACCATGACCAAGAATCAGTCCCAGGTTTGGTGGCCCACCTCAAGCACAACAGTTCCTCAAAGCTTGCAGCCTAGGTGTCTATCCTAGATCTGGGGCTAGGTGCACCATGGCCAGGAATCTGGTTTGGTGGCCCACCTCACGCACAACCATTCCTCAAAGCTTGCTGACCAGTTGTCTGTCCTAGACCTTAGACAAAGACGCACTACGACTGGGAATTGGTCCCAGGTTTGGTCATCTACCTCACGCACAACCATTCCTCAAAGCTTGCTGACCAGTTGTCTGTCCTAGACCTTAGACCAGACGCACTACGACTGGGAATTGGTCCCAGGTTTGGTCATCTACCTCATGCACAGCCATTCCTCAAAGTTTGCTGTCTAGGTGTCTCTTTTAAACCAGGAAGGAGAAGCACCATGACCAAGAATCAGTCCCATGTTTGATGGCCCACCTCACGCACAGCCAT